CAGTTTGTAGGTGTTGACTGAGCTCCGAATGTTGCTCATTGACATGAATAATATTTAATTTTTGATAAAAAAAAGGATCAAAGACTATTTTTATTTGCATTCTTTTTGCGCAAAACATCTCAAACTTTCATAGAAAATTAGTGAAAAAGTTCTAAGGGTTTACCGATTTACTGTCGCTGAAAATTTTAATTCTGAAATATCTGTTCAACGCTTAAAAATTCTAACCCTTCTTCAAAATTTTGCTTAAAAATTCTAACCCTTCTTCAAAATTAAGGCGATAAGTTTTTACTCTCAGAAACTTTGATTTGGAGTAAAAATTTTCTCGGCTTTTGTTTCAATTTGAGAATATTCAATTAAAATTGTTGGAGTTTCGACCTTGAATAAAAACTGTAAAAATTTATCAGTTTTGCAAACTTGCGTCATTCTTATGCGTGGTTTGCTGAATGAATAAGAGATTTGAAGAAAAAAAATGGACAATGCGAGATTCACTTGCAACTCAAACTCCATGATTGTAACAAAAGCTTTATGATGAGTTGTATTTTTCCTGGGAATTGTTTCAATCATTTAGTTTTTCAAGTATCTTTTGGCCATGTTTTCTTAACTTGCTTTTTATCATTCGCCGTACTGTTACAGTTTAATGACATCATTTTATCATTTCAGTTTGGTTTGTAGCCAATATTCAGCTAAAAATTTAATCGATTACTTTGGTTTTCACAATCTGGAAAATGACTCGGACAAAACTGTATTTATAGTATTGGTAACAAAAAAGTTCAATAAAATTGAGGTCCATCTTGATGGTCAGCTAAAAGAAGAAACAAAACTGTTTATGTGTAACTATTGACAACAATCTGAAATATCAAGAACATATCAAACAGTTACTCTTGAAAATGGCACAGGGTATTAAAGCCCTATATACTGTCACAGGCTGCATACCCAACAAATTGAGAACCATGCTAATTAAGGCCCTGGTCTTAAGTCATCCACAAAATTCGGCGGTGATACTTGTGACAATAGGTCCAAACGTTATCATAACACTTGAAAAGCATCTTAGTTGGGCCGTCAAAGACTGCTTTTTCAAATGAAAATTTGATTTCTCTGCCGAACCTAAAGCGACTACTGGCATATTACTAATTAGCTTTCTACTTGACTATCCATTATTATTATATTGTAAGCAAATTATTTCTCAGCAGAAACTAGCTTTTCATAAGGGATTCGGATATGCGGGATTCGGAAACACGGTATTGTGCGGGATTCGGAAAAAATCTTAGCTTACAAATTTTGGAATTTTTTTCCATTCTCGAACTGAGAAGCTTTTCTTCATCAAGCTCTCTCACAGTTTGTAAAAACTGCTGATTACTTTGTTTGCATTTATTTATATGTTTAAATTAACAGAAAAAGTAATCAAATAGCAAATTAGCAAAAGTACAAAGAACTGAAGGTAGTTGAAAAACAACTTATGGTAAAGTGACTTATGGTAACGTATTTTGGAAAGAATTTAGGTTCATCTAATATAAGTACAATTTTATAATGCTAATATTTGTTACAAACTACACTAAAATTAAACATTGCCTGTTTTGTGTAAATTTTATAATTGTAACACACCAACAGAAAGTTCAGTGTTTGTTTGTTTTTAAGTCTTAAAGAACAAAAAAAATGGAAAAGGCGGGATTCAATTGCAACTCTTAAAATTGTTTTGATTGTAGAAAATTTTTTTATATGAATTGTAATTTTCATGGTAGTCGTTTCAATCATTCGGTGTTTCAATTGTCTTTGGCTATGTTTGTTTTACTTGCTTTTCATCTCTTGTCGTAATGTTTGTTGACAACTTTTTATCAATTCAGTTTGTAGCAAAAATTCAGCTAGAAATTCAATCTGAAAAACGACTCGGAAAAAACTGTATTTATAGTATGGGTTACAAAAAAAATCAAAAAAACTGAGGTCCATATTGATGGTCAGCGAAAAGAAGAAAAAAAAATTTTACGTGTAACTACTGATAACAATCTGAAATATCAAGAACATGTCAAACAGTTACTCTTTAAAATGGCATAGGGTATTAAAGCCCTTTATACAGTCACAGGCTGTATACCCAACAAAATGAGAACCATGCTAATCAAGGCACTGGCCTTAAGTCATCTACAAAATTCGGCGGTGATCCCTGAGACAATAGGTCAAAACGTTATCATAAGACTTGAAAAGCAACTTAGTTGGGCCGTCAAAGACTGCTTTTCAAATGAAAATTTGATTCCTTTGCGAAACCTAAAGCGATTACCGGCATATTACCAAATATATTTCTTCTTGACTAACTATTATCAGCATATTGTAAGCTAATTATTTCTCAACAGAAACTAGCTTTCAATTAGGGGATTCTGATATGCGGGACTCGGAAACGTGGTATAGTGCGGGATTCGGAAAAAAGTCTTAGCTTACCAAACTCGCAATGTTTCTCCATCCTCGAACTGAGAAGCTCTTCTGCATCAAACTCTCTCACAGTAAAAGACTTGATAAAAGTGTTATTAGGAAATAAATTTTGCTATAAAATAATTTTCCATTCAAATACGTAAGCGATATTGATTCTACGATAAGTTACAAACAAAATTTTCTTGAACAATTTAAGAAGGACCCAGTCCAAGTGATTTATGGCAAAGTATGTTGGAAAGGAACTAAGTTCATCTAACTTACTTACAATTTTGATAAACCTTATTATAAAATGCACTAAAATTGTAAACTGCCTCTTTTTGGGTCATTTGTATAAGTTTAATACACTAACGGGAAATTCAGTCTTCTTTCCTTATTTTAGAAGAAAAAAACTGGGCCATGCGGAATTCAATTGCAACTCAAAATTTTGAGTGTAAGAAAGCTTTGAGGTGAGTTGTAACTTTACTGGGAAAGGTTTCACTCATTTATATTTTGAAGTGTCTACTTGCTTTGTTTTCTTTACTTGCTTTTCAACTATTGTCGTACAGTTTGTTGACATCATTTTATCATTTTATTTTCAGCCAAAATTTGTTTGAATATTAAACCTAAAAAGCTTAACCAAAGTTTTGGCGCAGTACTCAAAGCTTTTTTTGCAAACTAAAACAAACATTACGAGGCCAAACTTTGCACTGGATATGCGCCCAATTTTGTGTCTGTATGTTCCTGGATTCCAGAGACTAATTTTTGAACATGTTATAAAATGTAAGTGGATTCCACCTGAAACATTTCTGTGGAATCCGCGTACAAAAACCTCTAACGTAAATTTTAACGACACATTTGTTTTGTCGCGGATTCCACAACAGGGGAATAATGCTAGTAGTTCTGGATTTCTCAACTGTATGCGAATTCCCCAAATGTAAGTGGTGTCCGCAAAATAATGCGGATTCCGCTTACAATTTGCGGATTCCGCCTGCAATTTGCGGATTCCACTTACAGTTGCGGATTCCAGGACAGCTTAAATTTACTAAACACTTATATTATCAATTGTTTGTGGGTTTTACAAACTGTTCCGGGTTCCGCAAACTTTATTGCGGATTCCACAAGTTTTCATGCGGATTCCGCAAAATTGCCTGTTTTTGGAGCGATTCCAAGCAATACAGTGACCTGTTGTTGACCTGTTCCGTATTCGCTTACAATGCAGAAAATGCACAGTTTTGCCTCGTAATAGTCTATCAATTTTTTCTTGTCATTAAAAAATTTGGTAAAAATTGATTTGGTGCAAAAGATATACGTCACTTGAAAAAAAGCCAATCGCATGTTTGAAGTTCAATTTAAACTTTATCTTGAACCCATTTGAGTTGGCGACACCAACGAATATGGAATTGAAGACGTTATTGCCCTTTTGTAATTTAGGTTTTTAATCACCTAGATCCAGGGTCTCCAGATCCACTGTTTTTATTGTGTGCTACCTCTTTGAGTTAAACCACTCCAAACAAACTTGTAAGTAGTTTCCGCAAAACAAGGCGGATTCCGCTTACATTTTGCGGATTCCGCTTACAATTTGCGGATTCCGCTTGCATTTTGCGGAATCCACTGACAATTTGGGGATTCCGCTTACAGTTTCCGGATTCCACTTACAGTTGCGGATTCCAGGACAACTTAAATTTACTAAACACTTATATTATCAATTGTTTGTGGGTTCCACAAACTGTTCCGGGTTCCGCAAACTTTATTGCGGATTCCACAAGTTTTATTGCGGATTCCGCAAAATTGCCTGTTTTTGGAGCGATTCCAAGCAATACAGTGTTTTAGCTATTTGTTTGTGGAATCCAAAACAACAAAAAAGATCAAAGACAAGTAAAAATGTTGTGGGTTCAGCGACAAATCTGATGTTGACCTGTTCCGTATTTGCTTACAATGCACAAAATGAACAGTTTGGCCTCGTTATGGTCTATCAATTTTTTCTTGTCATTAAAAAATTTGGTAAAATTGATTTGGTGCAAAAGATATATGTCACTTGAAAAAAAGCCAATCGCATGTTTGAAGTTCAAATTAAACTTTATCTTGAACCCATTTGAGTTGGCGACACCAACGAATGTGGAATTGAAGACCTTATTGCCCTTTTGTAATTTAGGTTTTTAATCACCTAGATCCAGGGTCTCCGGATCCACTGTTTTTATTGTGTGCTACCTCTTTGAGTTAAACCACTCCAAACAAACAAAGTTTTCAGTTTTCCAAAACTGAATCGTCAGTAGCTTCTTCAAAATAGCGCAAAAACTGCTGGGTGCATGTATGCAGTGTTTTTACCACGCGACTTTCGGAAAACGTTATTTTTAAAATCAAGTTTTGACCAGTTTATCTGTTATACAAAGCTACTGTTTGAATTAATAGTTGACGTTAATTAAAGACTTTTTTGGTTTTTTTGTCAGAAAAATCATGTAGACTTTAAGAAACCACCGGCTTTGAAAGTTGTGCATGCACTCAAATGACAACATATGAGAAAAACATTAATCTAATATAAAACCAAACATACTTTTCTGGTTTAGTTTGAAAGCTTACTTTTTCATTACTGAAGTTATGATTGCACGAGCGTCAATTTTGATGCATCATTCGGTAAAAAACAAAATCTATCATATTGTAAACTGAAGAACACTCCTGCGTTTCTTGTAGTATTTGGCTGATTTCTAGAGACAAATTAAATTATCACGATCTGAAACTTTTTTTTTCAAAACAAAAGTAAAAAGAAAAACGAAAGTAAACTCCTGAACAGATCCTCGACATACTTTGGGTAACAAAACTCGAACAATTCTAAGTCTGTTTTGCGATCAATTTCTCATCTAATGTTCGAGGCATGGCTAGACTCCTGACAGCTTATGAACAAAACGCGGGACAACTTGTTAACATCGATGAGTGGAGTCCCACTCGAAAAACTCGCAAGTGGCTTCTTTTATCGGGAGCGAGTGACCCCCCAAAAAATATCTACATATCGGCAAGAAGACCACGCGAAAAATCCAATATTAGATCAGGAAAATTTTTGCGTGGAATCAGTTCTGATTTATATCATATGGAGCACGCGGTCGGAGCCAATTTGAAAAACACTGTAAGGAATTTGGACATAACAAAAAAGGAAGCTACACAGTGCATCAGAAAATTCCTGACTTTCTGCTGGATGGAAAATCACAAACCGATGTTGTACTACACCGGACACGGCGAACAAGGAAGTGGCAATTGGTGTTTTGCAGATGGAACAATTGGAATTGAAGAGATTTTTGCTTGGCATATGGAAACTATGGAGTTCTCAACAATTTGCAGCGATGCATGCTACAGTGGAAAGTGGGTGGAGTTTTGCGCTTGGAAGAAAAAGCCAGGCTTCCATTGCCTCTCAGCTTGTGGTCCATATCAGACTGCTCTAGATACAGGTAAAGTTAGCTCCAAATGGGTTACGTGATGAACTGTTTTCGTTTTCTTTATTAAGCAATAACTTACTAAGCAAAACACAATAAGGTTCCCCGAGTTGAGATTTCCAGCCCAAGGTTAAGCAATTGAGCGGTTTGATTGTTTTTTTTTTTCAGACGATTACGCTCAAAGTCCTGTATTTGTGTTTTTTTTTTATTTTTGAGCGGTTTTTACTTGGACATTTTTGGGAGACAATTTTATGGACCCTTGAACATTTTAAAATGGATTTTGGCTTTTATTTTGTTTAAATGGTAGGTTAGAAATTCAGAATTTTATAGGACTGCTGTGTGCAGGGCTGGCAAAATGTAAGTTAAAAACAAAAATAACAAACTAACTGTAATTTATCGAAAAAAACATGATATTTTTGTTAAATTGTTAATTAAATTAACATATCAACAAGAGTTGAGTTTCTTGAACAGAAACGCCAAATTTCCGGCTTTCTCAACGCCGAGTTGAGCACGAAGCTTCCCATACGCCAGGAGAGATTTTTCGCTCTGTAGTTTGTCAAGTGAAACTGCAATTGGTTTGAAATTTTTTTTTTCATCCGTTCGGGATTCGCTACAATCGTTTCGGAACAAGCATGCAGTATAGTTGCGTTGTCTTTTTCTAAGAATTACTCATAGTTCTAAGAAATAGCTAACATCACTGTTAGAAATTATAAATAACATGCCAACCCTGACTGTGTGTGCCCTGCAACAATTCCAAATACAATCAGGACAAAATTTTCGGGATAGAATTTTGAGAAAACCGCTCAAGAGTTGAGCCATTTGGTCGTTTTTACATAGAATTGAGTAATTTTAACCATTTTTGAGCGGTTTGATTGTCCTCTGCTAGAATTTGAGCGGTTTTCGCGGTTTCAGCATAATCGTCAAAACTAGCTGAAGGCCAAACCTCGGCGTTTTTTGAGCGGAATCTCGACTGAGGTTATCATACTCGATAATAGATGCAATCGATTACTGGAATTAGTACTTTCAAAAATATATGGGCAGAAATAAATATGTTGCCGTAGCATCACTAGACTTTTCAAAGCTTTCTGCTCAATCGACCATTAGTTTATTAAAACTAGATTAACTAGTATGAGTTTCTCAGATTCGGCTATAGAGATGATTTAGCAACAGACAACAAAAAATAATGGTGAATAACACACATTCAGACTGAATCTCCTTGCATCGAGGCGTGCCTCAAAAGAGCTTTACGATCTTTAATTTTTCAATTATTCATATTTTATCCAAGCAAACTTTTTCCCAAAAACTGCAAACTAATACAGTAAGCAGAAGATACTTTAAATTTCTGCAATCACCATAACCTTTGCATCTGCAAGAATCTAGCATCTGCATCCAGCATCTGCAAGAAACTCGTCAAAATGTATCGCAATATTTTCGAAGACATTACCTGAAAATAAATGTGTACGGAAATGAGCTACATTTTTAGGGAGAAGCAATGCAGAAGTGATCATCGGAAACTCAATATATAACCAAATGGTAAACTTATTGTAAGAAAATCACAAGAAAATCTTCTAGGATTTATCATTGTTCTCCTAATAATCTTCCCGGCCAAACGAAAAAACATTTCGAGAAAAATGGTTTTCGCAACTAAATTTCGGCAATCAATATAAAACAAAATGGTGAACTTTTTGTAAGAAAATCACAAGAAAAGCTTCTAGGAGTTATCCTTGTTCTCCTAATTATCTTGCCGGCCAAACGAAAAAACTTTTCGAGAAAAATGGTTTTCGGAACTAAATTTCGGCAATCAATTATAAAACCATACTAATCGTGAACTGAATGTTTTTATTGAATTAGATAGTGAGCTGCCATCTACGCTACTCATCAATAGTCCTCAGCACAATATCAAACAGTTTGACAGCATAAATCAAACACAGCTTGGCTGGGCAATTAGGGCCTGCTGCAATAAAATTTCGATTTTTTTTTGTCTGAGCTGAAATTGAAACACTAAGTTCTACAAGTAGCAATGTTCCTCGATTGGAAAATTGTATGTCATCTAGGGCAATTAAGCACAATCTTCTACCAGCCTTACAAGAATCAAATAGGAAAACAGACAACATCACTGAAGACACACTGCCATACATTCCTCAAACATCACAAACACACTGCCAAACTGGTTTTCTAATCTCCTAACAACAAAAGAGAAGGTAAAAAAGTTGTGGTTGCAAAAATAAATGTTTTTTGTTTTTCAAAGTTGTTAATTGGTTAGAGGAAGAGGTTTCAAATAATTATTACCAGTCATAATTAGAGTATCTCTCTAATTGGTATCTCCATGTAAGCTTTTTGAAGTAACGTAAATTCGGCGGAAAGACCACCGTGCGCTATTGTTTCTTTCTACTTCTCCAGGAGGTGGGTAGTCGGAACATTTGACGACTTGCAGTTTAATTTTTTGACCTAATTTGAGATCTCTGCTGTTTTAAAAAAATTATCATCGAAAAGACTTTTTTGATATTTAGATTCTAATCTAAATTTAATGTCTGATATTTTTTGCGATCAAGTGTGGATCTAGTTTTTTTCAGCATCAAAAATTTGAAAAAAGAGGACAGACACTTAAGTTGAAGGACATAACTTTTATGATTTTCTCAAACATCAAAGAGACTTTTTGAGCATGAAATTAAAAAAAAAAACGACCAATTTTGCGCTTTTACATGGTGCATCCTTTCACCTTTAAAAGAAGTATCCTTTTGATTGGCGGACCTTTTTGATTGGTGAGGTTGCTCAAATTTTGAATCAACAAAATTTGAAAAACAAAAAAAAATTGTCTTCGGGCGAATTTTGGTGATTTAAGTACTTGCTTTAAAAAGTATCTCTGTTTTATGACACATTTTTAATTTTTAATATCCAAAAACTTTTTACTTTCAGGTGAGAAAATTTTCGTGCAACAATTTATTTGACCATTTCAGTAAATGGCGGTGAACTGACTCTTTGCATGACCGGAAATCATGACAAACTTCAATCTGGAAGACCACGTCGAACCCCGCTTTTCAGTGGCTGCGAAAGTCCTGCTGGAAAAATTGCTCCAGCGAAAAATAGTTCTGGAACAATTGCTACATCGAACAATAGTTCTGGAACAATTGCTCCAGCGAACAATAGTTCTGGAACAATTGCTACATCGAACAATAGTTCTGGAACAATTGCTCCACCGAACAATAGTTCTGGAACAATTGCTACAGCGAACAATGTGGTGGCAGTTCCAGTACCAAGTTACAATAAACGAAAATATATAGACGTTATTAAGGAAGCTCTCAATAGCGGTGACGGAAACAATGTTCTGATATCGCAGAGCATATTCAATGGAGTGTTTCAAGGAATTTTTGGCAAACATTCAATTTATGGTAACAGACGCACAATGACGATGAGTGGAGGATGTAAATACATACACGAAATCATAAAAAAACATTTTGCGCAAGGTTTCGCTATTTTATCCTGGCAAGCAGATGATAACCAATTTTACATGATGATGATTGAGATAAATTGGGAACAAAGAACTAGAGTTTTCAGAAATTTAGCTGAACTGGACTCGAACGTAGCAGGTAATATTACAAGTTGTATGTCTTACGGATCTGATTACAGAGTGGTGCTTACAACTGGCGACTCAACTTATAGTGGCACTCAAACAATTTTGACGGAGCGGCATTGGAATGAAGTTATCCAAAAAATAGAAGTTGAAAACAATGCGGGAAAAATGATTACTGCAATTTGTTATAATCGAGGCCAGCAGGAATACATGGTGGTGATGACATCATCATCTCGTGGACAAAAGAGCCGATGGTTTGAGAAGAACGACCACAACGGGAGAAACACTTGGCTCGAGGAGAATTGCAAGTCAAAGTACTATCCCACACTGGTATTTCAAAGTCCAGAGTTCCCAAATCATGTACTTCTTGTTATAAGTACGGATATTAATAGAAAGGGATATATTTTGATGACGAATTATCAGATCGCTTGATAAAATCGAATTTCAGCAGAGGAAAATTTCGTATAAACCACTTATGAAAAAGTTACCTCGTGATGTCTCTCTGTAAATAGTCATTACTTAAGTAGAAAATTGATTTAAATTGTTCTGCAAAACTAATAGACTATATGTTGGAAGAATAAACTAATAGCCCGGGTTGAACGAAAATACTAGTCATACAATTTTCATATATGGAAAAATGCTAATCATACACTTTTCATGCAATTGCATAAGTACAGAAAATTGCATGAAAGGTCTATGATTAGTATTTTTTCATATATGGAAATTGCATGACTAGCATTTTTCCATAAACCAAAAATATTGATTTTTTACATTTTAAATTCTCAAAATTTTTTTAGTTGTGTTTGTAGTCGAACACAAATGATATAAACCTTGGTTACTCAAACGTAGTAACCAAAGGTTTGGCCGTCTTGCATCAAAAATGCATTGGAAACAGCCGGAAACGTTTTATTTCTGCCTTATACAAATAATATAACAAAAGTAACGAACTTTTAAATTTTGGCAAAATATTTCAAAGATGATTATTTCTAAAATTTGAATTTTTAAATGACCAGACATTGATCAAGGCATACAAAAACAAGTCATATAAAAGAAAGAGGAGTTTTAAGCGTTTTTGACAAAAGTTATGAAGAAAAAAGGAAAAAAAATCCAATATTATTATATCCAGGACTACGTTATACATACAAAAAATTAATTTTTGCATGCAAAATTTTTTTTTCAAAAAAATTTTGTTTGAGTACGAAAACCAATTTGCGGTTGAAAAAAAAACAAACAAATTTTGGGGGCAATTTCAAAAATTTTTGTCGTCGCCGTCAAAAAAATGCTAGTCATAAATTTTCCATGTATGGAAATTGTATGATTAGCATTTTTTTGACAAAAAATTTTTCTTTTTTTTTCAGTACGATTCACCGAATTTTATGCCAAAACAAGAGAAAAGTTGTTCGAAAATTCAATAACACGATTTTAGCAAAATGTTTGAAATTTGTATGACTAGTATTTTTTCATAGACTTAGTTTATGGAATTATATGATTAGCATTTTGGTCTATGGAGGTCAACCCGGGAGACTATATTAAATCACAAAGCATTTGAGTATCACGAACCGAGGTTGTGGTTTTTCGTCCCGGTAGTTACGAATAAAATGTGATTTTTCATGATTTTCGCGATCAAGATTAGAAAATTCCACACTCTCGCAACCGACCTTAAATTTTCCAGACTACCCAGAGCAATGAAGAAAAACAGGGACCAGGCCGGTCCAAGTAAAATTGAACGCAGCCGGTGCAACCGACAAAATAAATCGCGACAGGTGCAACCAAAATTAGGTCAACAGCCACCGGTGTCACCAACGCAAAATGAAAAAAATCTAAGATATCAATTTTCAATTTTTTTTATCTTATCCACCTTTTGAAGCATAACACCGAAAATGCTTATCTTACAATTCCATACACCGAAAATGCTTGTCATACAATTCCATACATCAAACGAAGGTATGTAAAAATGCTAATCAAACAACTTTCATACAATTTCAAAAAAGCATTTCAAAAGATTCGAACTAGATTCTGCGGCTACTTGAACCAAATAAAAACAGTCTGGGGATGGAAAAAAAATATTTTTTTTTTGGGAAAAAATGGTTTTCATACAACTTCCGTAATGAAAATTGAATGATTTAGCAACTTTTTGATGGAATTGTTGCATTTTATCTACGGAATTGTACAAAATTGTATGATAGGCATTTTTCATATATGAAAATTGTAGGACAAGCTATTTTGGTCAACCCGATGTTTGATTATACTTTTGAGCAAATTTCGCAGTTCGTTTTAACGATTTTTGCAGACTTAAACGGAGAAAATTTTTTCAAAAACTTTCGTTGAAATTTTCAATGTTCAAGTCTCAAAGTGCAATTTCATTTTCGGAAGAATCGAAAATGAAATCTTGCTTGCTAAGAGCAACAAGGACCTAGATTATCTAAATTGTCTCAACTTTTTTTAATGAAATCACTAGTTGTTTTCAAAAAACTTAGAATTATAATAAATCAGGGGGAATTACAGCACAGTAACACGGGTATAAAAATAAGTTTGGCAGTTACTTCTAGATCCGTTTTACTGAAATTTTTCTGCCCAGAATTTATAGTTATTCAAAAATAGATGGAAAAGAGTCAATGAATGCAGGTAAACAGAAAAAAAATAGGGACTTCCTTTTGAAAAAATCTCAACGTTCGAACTTAAGATTAGATTTTCTTAAGAAAACTGTTTGCTGGAAAATTCGATGATTATATTCTAACTTCGAAACCAGGAGTCGATCAGGTTTGTCGTGGCCTGTAAACTTTTGATGTTTGAAAGTGGAGTTTGCCTTGCTTTTAAAAAAAATAAATGAACTGAATAAATGGAATCAAAACTCAAACCGCTGAAAAATTAATTGAGTCTGAACAAATTTTAAGGTTTATTACTAAAAAAAAATTTCTGACCTTTATAACAGTCGGAATCAAGTTCATCGACCCTTTAAAGCAACAAGAAAAAATGATGAAATTTTAAAGAAAGTTTAGTCATTTTAGTCGTTATGAAAAAATTGATGATTTGAGTGACTAAGTTTGCATGGTTTCTGAATCTAATTTTAAACTTGTTAGTGAAGCTGAAGCTTGGCTGAAGATGGTGTTAAGTGTTACATGCTCAAAACTTTTATAGATTTACAATCTTTTTTCGTAGATTTTGATTCTGTAGTTTAAGTTTTGAACTTAAACTATGGGTCTCAGTTTTTTTTAATCAAGTGTCTTAAATTTTAGGGTCCTACCGTTTTTTCCAGACGATGAATCGGGTGTGAGTCTTGGGTTTCCTGAGAAATGTTGAAAAAAAATTTCGTGAAAAACACTCAAATTTTTCATAAAAAAACTAAAACTGTTGTTTAATTATTGGGTTTGTGTTAGTTCCTTGACTGGTGTGAGTCTTTAGTGTATTGCCTGGTAAGATAGAGAGAAATTTTGAGTTTAGCAATTGATTTAGTTAGAAAAGATTTGGTTATACGCATGAAAGAAACCCGCACCGAGCGCTCATGGACTCTAATCAATTATAATGGATTCTCGAGACAAAAATAATCCATTATAATCTATCAAAATTTTAAAATTCAGACCACGAAATTGATTATATTGCCATTATTATCTTTATTTTTGAAAAAAATATATATATATATAGCATAATCTATCATGATCCAAATTTTTTGGCACTGAAATTGATTAGTTTTGCCATGATAAACTACTTTAATTGATTGTTTTGGATTCCATTTTGTTTTTGAAACTAAACTCGATTATTTTTGCAGAAGTTTTGCAAATTTTGCAAGAAATTTGCAGAATGTATGCCATGTGTTTTATTTACGCCATGTCTCAACGTCACGCACTCAATATTTTTTACCTTCCCCCAACTAGAGAGGGGGTAAAAGGGGGATCAGTAACCCACCGCTCACAAATTCTACCAATAAACAATCTCCCCATGTTCAACCATAAGGCACAATTAAGTAATTCGTCCCCCCTCCCTAACACCGTCCAAACAATACCCCGGTCTCCCTGCGAAAAAAAAGAAGAACTAAGATGAATTAAGAAAGAAGAGACGGAACAATATTCAATTTTTAATGTGAAGTGTAATACGTAGCAACTGCACTAAACAGGAAATGAGATAACCTTTGAATTTCGGAGAAAAAAATAGATGGCCTCAAAGTTCTCTGAAGTTGTAGAACAATTAATGATGGATACTTTTAAATTAAAATTAAACCAATTTGAGAAAACTGGATCAATAGGTAAATTTTTATTTCGCTGGGAAATCTGGTAATTAATTTCCATTTTCGAAATTAGAAGTCGATAACATTATTTGTGAATTTTACATAAAATGGGTTGTATTGGCATAAAAAATATTTTGATTATAATCCATTTTTAATTGATTATATTTGATTATAATGGATTATACGAACGCTGGATTATTTTGACGATGGATTATCTTGATTATATTTATACGCCTGAGTCAGATTGATGCATGAGAACAATAGAAAATTTGTTGAGTTGTTTGATGACTGAAATTATTTGATAGGCAGTTGAGTATAATCTCAGATTGCAGAGAGTTCCACTGCCCCCTTAAATTATGAAAGGTAAATTTTTTATTATATTTTTTTCTGACTGCTAAGTTTACACAAGTAAATTGAAACATGACCAAAAAGGAAACTTCTTAACTTGTTTTGTCTAATTCAATTGATATTTATGTTAATTTAGTCTAAGATTTTTTATTCTGAGCAATTTTTTTCAGAAAACCACTCTTTTTTTTGTGATTCGATTAAAAAAATAACTGAAAGTTGATGAGTCACTGTCAGTTAGAGAACTGTTTACGACTGAGTTTTTGAGATGATTAACCATAAGGAAAGTTCATCATCTGAACTTAAGCTAGAAATTTTTTGAACTAAAGGAGGCAAACAGATAAGTGCATTCCAATTGATAGTTGCCCCCTATCTCGTACCTCATTCAAAGATTTTACCCGGGTTGAAATCCATAGAAGAAAAATGCTTATCATAAGGTTTCATATATGAAGTCTATGGAAAAAAATGCTTATCATACAAAATTCATGCAAAATTTAAAAGGTGTTTTAAAAAATTTTAATGAATATTTTTGGTTTCATTGCTTCTTTGCCTCTTTTGAAGCTTTCTGGTCATTAAAAAAATTATTTAAAAATTTTGATGATAAATGTTTATCATACAGTTTTCATGTAAGAAAATTAATAGAAAATAATTTTTTCATAGAGAAGGTAAACTTTTCAAAAATCACAAAAAAACGTGTCTAGGTAACTTTCAAAAGATTTAAATGATAATATCTAAGATAGAGTGCATTTTGACAATCAAAAACTTAATTTTAATTTCGGTCAAAAAATGCTTATCATAAAGTTTTCATATATGAAAATTCTATGATATGCATTTTATCATAAGCAAAAACACAAACTTGAGTAAAAACATTTTTAATCCCTTTTTTGGTTGCAAACTTGTTTTTGTGCTCAAATCTAAATTTTGCGAAAAAAAAGTTTTGCATGCAAAATTTGACTTTTTGTGTTTATAGCAGATTCCAGAGAGAATTTTTCACCAAAAAAATTCCAAAAAGATCAAAAAAGTGTTTCATTTGGTAGAATAAAAAAAATTGTAAAAAATACAGGCCTTTTTTCTCAACCACCAAAAATTTCAAACCAAAAGTAATCTAGCCAAAAATAAAATGTTTCATTTTTGGTATATACTTCCATATGAAAATACTAAATCAACAAATGCCGTTTATCTGCGTGGTAGCTGCCAGTTACACTCTGGGTTTTTTTGTGACAAAAAAGTCCGTGGTGAGTGTTTCGGATGAAACAAAACTTCAAAACCATTTTTTTTGTGTTTTCATTCATGGAAAAAATGAATGTCATACAATTTCATGGTATGAAAAAATTGCTGATCATGCTATTGTCATACAATTTTGGGGATAAAAATGCTTTTTTTCAAAATTTCACATTATGGAAAAATGCTTTCTTTGCTATTTTTCATACATTTACTTTTACTCTATGAATTTGTATGAAAAAGTACGATAAATTGTTTTAAAAAAAACTTCACAAGCTTAAAAAACCTCACAAGCTTCCTTGTTTTTTTCAGATATTTTCCAAAATAGTTTGGTTAGTTTGAAATGTATAACTTAAGGTTTAGTGCAAAGTTTCGGTTGCACTTGATTCTGGAAGGAAACGGAAGTCTGGGTCCCATAGCTTGTGTCTGTCGTAGTTGTTTCTGTGATCGAGCCAAGTCTTGTATTTAACATGAAACTTCATCAATTTCATCTACAAATAGGAATAGAAAAAGCTACAAGAGCACATGAAATAAAATGAATAAAAGTAAACATCCAAAAACCAGTTCATAAATTGAACAATTGTACCCTAAAACACCACACTATCTGCTCGGGTTGACCAAAAATACCAGTCATACAATTTTCGTACATGGAAAAAAGCTAATCATGCACTTTTCATGCAATTCCATAAATACAGGAAATTGCATGAAAGGTCTATGACTTGTATTTTTTCATGTATGCAAAATGTATGACTAGCATTCTTCCATAAAGTAAAAATATTGATTTTTCCTATTTTAATTTCTTAAAATTTTTTTGGTTGTGTGCGTAACGCAACACAAGTGACAAAAACCTTGGTTATTCATTCGTAGAGTAACCAAAGGTTTGGCCGTCTTGCATTAAAAGAACAATTGTATCCTAAAACACCACACTATCTGCTCGGGTTGATCAAAAATACCAGTCATACAATTTTCGTACATGGAAAAAAGCTAATCATGCACTTTTCATGCAATTCCATAAATACAGGAAATTGCATGAAAGGTCTATGACTAGTATTTTTTCATGTATGGAAAATGCATGACTAGCATTCTTCCATAAAGTTAAAATATTGATTTTTCCTATTTTAATTTCTCAAAAATTTTTTGGTTGTGTTTTTGTCACGCAACACAAGTGACAAAAACCTTGGTTATTCATTCGTAGAGTAACCAAAGGTTTGGCCGTCTTGCATTAAAAATGCATTGAAAACGGCCTAAAATGTATTATTTTCGTTTCACACAAATAATATAACGAAAGTATCAATCTTTTAAATTTTGTCAAAATTTTCAAAAATGATTTTTTTTAAACTTGATTTTTTAAATTACCAGACATTGATCAAGGCATATACAAAATAAACATGCCATACAAAAGAAAGAGGAGTTTTAAGAATTTTTGAAAAAGTTATTACGCGAAAAGGAAAAAATCCAAAATTAATATATCAGGACTAGGTTATTCGCACAAAAAATTAAATATTGCTTGCAAAATTTTTTCTCCAAAAGGGTTTGTTTGAGTACAAATATCAATTTGCGATTGAAACAAAAAAAACTTACAAAAAGTTTGGGGGCAATTTCAAAAAAGAGAAGTTTTTGTGGCCATCAAAAAAATACTAGTCATACAGTTTCCATATATGGAAATTGTATGATTAGCATTTCATTGACAAAAAATGTTCTTTTTTATTTAGTACGATACACCGAAGTTTTGCCAAAACAAGAAAAAGTTCTTCGAAAATTGGATGAAACCATTTTAGAAAAGTGTATGAAATTTGTATGACTAATATTTTTTCATAGACTTAGTTTATGGATTTGTATGATTAGCATTTTTGGTCTATGGAGATCAACCCGGGTGAGGCGATAGTATCGCTTTCTTGCATAATTTTTATTCGTTTCATTGACTTAAACCTGAGCAAAAAGATTGGTTGAACCAATAGTTGATTACTCTGTCTCATTTCGTCAGCTTTTTGGTTGTTCAGTCATTCTCGATCTGTTTTAGAGCACTTTGTTTTGTGTTGTACCTTTAAAATTTCGATGACCCATTTAATAAATGAAAACAGAAAAAAAGAAGAAAGAAAAACAAAAAAGAAACGATACTCAGCTTAATTGTATTGGCTATATTATATGACTTTCTCAAGATTCTAAAGGTCTAATTCTGTTAAAATGCCATTTGAAATAGAAGATCTAACTTCGTTGACTTATTGCTTCTGAAACAATTTAATTGATTAAAATTCTTCACAGACTTTTTTTGTCTCATACTGTTTTCACTTTCAATGTCTTTTTAAAGCAGGATAATTGAATCAGTTTACCTAACTGGTGGCATACTTTTTTTCATATCAGATAAATGGTTTGTTTCAATGAATTCGACCCAGAAAATTTTACATTGAAAAATTTTAAAGAAAATTAAAGGTATTCAGAAAAAAATCAGCAGAACTATGATCCTATTATATGAAGCAATCATAGTAAAAAGCATGTTTCTGTTCTGATGAGTAATTTAGGTCACAATAGAAAGTGTAAAAAAAGTCCTTTTTGTTTAATCCTAATCCTTAGTAACCAATTGAATCACTAGCCTGTTCTCCGTGGTTGCCCTTCTTAGATGAAGTCTGCTTTCGGTAAAAATGATACAAGATAAATGCAAGTCATACGAGTCGATACATGGAGTATATAGAAAAATTGCTCATCATAAAATTTTCGTTTAAAAATTGTATTATTTAATAAACATAGCCAACAGTCAGTTGGAAAGCAGTCATGAACGAAAAAAATATATGAAAAATGAGTTACTTACTTCCTGAAAACAGACCAACTTCCAAATTTTAGACAAAAAAAAATTGCTCCTAGAGCTCTTTGAGCTTCCAAAAAAATTTATGATTGTCACTTTTTGTGATCAAATTAACCAAAATTGAGAAAATTGGATCGAAAGCAAAGTTGAATTCCACTTTCGGAACTAGAATTCAATCATGTATTTCATGACCTTTACACTTTTGCTGTTTTATAGTGGAGTTTGACTTGAGACTTGTTCGCGCTTAAATTAATCTTAAACTAATGACGTCATTATAGCGCGAAAGTGAAAAAGCTAAAATTAGATTTTCTTAGACAAAAGGCCTTGAAAACTACTGGTTTGTCCGATTAAGGTCAGTTTGCCATCAAAATGTTTATAGATTGTTGAGATTGTTGGAAACCGTATTGCTAAAAATGTTAACCGAAAAATGTTTAACCCATTGTTTCAGATATTACTTATTCTTTATATTATCTGTTAAATTGCCAATAATTTACAGATATTGAAGCAGGTTTTTGTAGGTCTTACAGGATACGAGAGTGCGGCACAAGACTCTTCACTTTTCATACAAGGAAATGAAGTAAATTTAAAAAGAAATCAAAAGTGAAACTGCGAAAAAACCTATTTGAGCCTGAAAAAGAAACAAAAAAATCGTCACGATGTATATAAGCGTCTGAACGATGTTCATGACTCACAATAATTGATGTTTCGGCATTAGAAACTTTCTATTTGTATGAATATATTCAACCTAAATCGGTCAGAAGGTCACGATTTTCAACCACTGCGTTTCATCAAAATGAATGCCTTTTAGTCGTTTAGAAAAAGTACGTCGTTGTTATAGCATTGATTAAAATGCAAAGAACTTTTTACTTGATAAAATATCGAAAGGCTTTTTGTTGAACAGTTAAACTCAAAAGTTGAATTTTGTGCCAAAAAATGGTTACTATCTTTTCGTTCCGACTTTCCGATCATTTCATTGATAACCCTCATGATAGCGGTTGCACTGTCTAAAACAAACACTTTCTGCGCAAATAACTCATGACAACTTTTTTTTTGCATTTTTTGTAGCGACCGATCAAATTGAATTAAGCGAGTTAAATAATTAAAGTTAAAAAATTAGGTTAATGCCAATTTATTACTAATTATTGATTTGTACTAACAAGTGGATAGTAGTAGAATGAGTCTGCAAATGGCCACTTCAATTGAGTCCAGAAGGAGAAGAGAAATGGTAGTGGAGATAAAGGGCAGAGTAGCGGAGCCGAAGTTACTCGTAGAACCGCTACGGTCTGTTTCTTCCGGGTTAGACTAAAAAAAAAATAGAACATATTCTAGAGACAGTTGGAAAATAGTAATGAACGCAAGTAAACATCAAAAAACACTGACTTTCTTGACTCAACGTACGAACTTCGAAGAAAAAAATAGATGCCCGTCAAGTTTTTTGAAACTCTAGAACAATTTATGAACATGAACCCAACTTGAGAGAAGTGGATCAATAGGTAAAATTTTTATTCGCTGTGGAAGTCTTAAAAACGAATTACACTTTCGAAACTAGAATTTCAGCAGATGAATTTCAATTGGACTCAAAAAGTGCATTATAGCTAAGTGCATCAATATTTCAAACTTTTTACTGAAAAAAAAACAAAAAAAAAATCAGCAAGACCTATATAAGGTTCTTCACTTCTTTCATTACTCTTAAAAACATAGCCAATCGAAGACTGGAAAAGAGTATTGAACGCAAGTAAACATATAAAAACACTAATTTTCCTGAAAATGTCGCAATTTTTGAATTTCAAACAAAAAATATATGCTTTTAAGCTCTTTGAATTTTTAGATTTTTTGATAACATGAACCTAACTTGAGAAGTTCGGATCAATAGGTAAAGTTTTTATTCCGCTGGGGAATCTTAAATTCCACTTTAGAAACTAAATGAACTTAAAAAGTGCATATATACTTAAGTGCAATCATAAATGCATCAAAATGCATGAATGCACATCTGCAGTTATTAGAGACTTTTATGTTTTTTCCTGCACTACGTTCATACTCTATAAAATATATGGCCTCCAAACTTTTTGAAATTGTGGAACAATTTGTGATGGACGATTTTTGGTTGAAATTAGTAATATTTGAGAAAACAGAATCAATAGATTAAACTTTCGTCTCGCTGGGAAATCTGATAATTGGTTTCCATTTTCGAAAAAGAAGTTGATCAGGTTTTTCGTGACCTTTACTTTTTTGCTGTTCGATAGTTGAGTTTGCCCTCCTTTTAACTATGGAAACGCACTGAATTTGAAAAAAAAAATCACAATTCACACCGCGAAATATCAAAACTGAACGTAAAAAATTTTAAGATTTTTTCCGAAGAAAAAACAAATGAAAAATCACCAAGACCTATAAAAAAAGAGTAATCACTACGTTCATAACTCCTAATAAGACTAATTGTCACATGAGGTAAAATGGCACATTTTCAAACTGTTAAAAAAGCTCTGTACGAACAACCGCTTTTTTAACTTGATGCAGCGGACGGTAACCTTTTTATTCAGCTGTTGCATTCATTGAACCCAACAGCCAGAGAACATTTATAGTCAGAGAAAAATAACCTATCACAAAATATTCCAGGTTTTTACGTTTCGAGCATTTGTTTAAAAAAAAAGGAAATCAAGTTAGACGTACTGATTGGGCCCGCTTCACTAAGGAATTCAGATACAGTCCATTTGCAGATAGCTCATCTGGTCCAACAACTCCTCGCGATGAGCCCCATTCACTTTCGATTCCTGCGTCAACATCGCGAGGCATAGATGACGACTCCTCAGGATGTCTTGACAGATGACTGGACGAGTGTTTTTCTGTTGGTGTGGTTTGTAGGATGTCGTTCTGAAAGTAGCAATGGGCAACGAGGTAGTCGAAAAAAGAAAGCGTGAGCCAATTGTTCACTAGACACGACAGACGAACTGAATTCTGAAACAAAAAAGGCAAAGCAATAGTATACTTATCATATCAAAAGTTTGACCACCACCACCAAAAGAGTTCAAACAATTAATGGATAGTTTCGTTTTGTGAAACACTATTGATATTTCCCGAAGATTTATTTGTAGTTTCACTTTACAGACAAAACACTCAGCTACATTTACGCCGAAAACAGATTCAGATAATTGAACCAACTGTAAAAGTTTAACTTAGCTTTTCAATTGTTTAATTATTATTCAAAATAAAACGTGAAAACACTTTCTGCTCTTTTTACTCAAAGTGAACTCGCGCGTTGTTTATTTGTCGAGGCAAACTATGATTCTTAATCGTTGGTCAATTTGAAAGGAACACAGGGCACTTTTGCGTTACTGTTCCGACTTTCGAACAAAGCCCGGAATATTTATGCTCGGAGTGTTTTTTTTTCAATTTGTTCTTGTCAATTCATTACGAGGCCAAACTGTGCATTTTGTGAATCGTAGGCGGATTCCGCAACAAATACGCTCCCTTTGTTTTTTCATTTTCTTCAATCGTTCCGACAAAACTTTAACGTGTTTAAAAAGTTGTCTCTGGAATCCAGGAACATACAGACACAAAATTGTGTGGCTATCCAGTGCACAGTTCGGCCACGTAATATTCAAGATTTTTCAACTAAGTTTTTTTGGCAGAACTTTTTATACCGCCTTATTGTCTCAAACTAAAATTTTAAGGATTTTCACTAATGATAATTTTTCATCATGATCACCAAGTTATGATGGTTTGAACTTAATCTATTTTGCTCGCTATAATCAAATTTGGGATAAATGTAGCGCGATATTTTTTGCTCTGTTATTTCAAAGTGGCAAATTGAATCCTTCCAAAATGAACTACGGCAGGTATTTTTCTGCGATTATTATCTTAAAGTGAGCCAAATATATCACGTGGTACTTTACATAGCTTGTGGGGAGTAAAATAAAGAAAATCACATACCTATTTAGTAACTGAATCCTGAAGCAAGGAAAGACCATCAGTTTTATATACTAGAAACGGTAGATTCAAGGAGCATCAGTTTTTAGTGAACAAGCCTTATTTTAAAATTACTTGTTGGCAAAACTAAACGCAGAATCATGTTTTCACTCACTGAAATGCCTGATTAGGACCATTTTTAGCGATGTTAATTTGGAATATAGCTAACTTTTCATATCGAATGTGAGAAATTGATCCCAACTTCCGGTCTAAAAATGATACTTTTTCACCATCTGCAGTAAATTTTTCTAACAGCGCGAAATTGTAAGAAAAGCTGTAAAAAAGAAAATTAAAGTAAAACGTCTTAGATTTCTCAGCTCAATTTACTCGCTGATTGCGTTCATTTTGATTGAAAACTAAATTTCTGAAAAACAAAAATATTTCCAATATCCAAAAATAAAACAGTTTCATTAAGGCAAACATCGCACACTTTTTCAAAATTAGTGCAACCACCGATTGCTTAAAACATGATCTATTGACCCAAGTAATTTTGGCTGCCGTCTTCGCTCCAACGTGTTGCAAGTCTTACAACAGAAGCTAGTGCTTTATATGGAAAATAGACCCGGTTCTTTCCGCAAAACATAGACTTGCACATAGCGCGCTTACAGGTGATCGAAAACTGAAACTCAGCTACAAATCAGATGTTTTCGCCAGACCCAAAAAACTTAATATTTACTGAAGAAAAAAGTAACGCGACCAAACAACTTTACAACTCAAAAAAATCCCTATGAAGCTTTGTGATCTCAAGGAAATTTCATTTCTTGTGTAAAAACAAAAGGTTAGAACCACATTGGTGTCTAATTTATGAATTGAAACAGAAAAAAAAATGAAATCTGACAGACATTGAGCCGCTTACATCATAAGAACAAAACTCGTACAATTTGATCCGGAAAAAAACAGTAAGTACTGAAATTTGTTCATTTTTTTGATAGATGCAACTTCACATCACGTTTTCTCAATCGGCTTAGAAATTTTTGCAAAAACTGCTACAATTTTTTCAATATGAGCTTTGAAAAGTGAGCTTATTTTAGTTTTTTTTCTAAGTTTCTCTTTTTTTAAACAATTTTCTAAGATGAACACTAGTTATATGACTATATAGGGCGCAAACCATCACATTAGTAACCAATTTATTTATTTTATGAAAAACTCTCTCTACTTTTTGTTTTTAATTTCTCTAGTTGCATTACTTTTTTCTCCAGTATAGATTGTAAAAATTTGCATTTTGAAGCACCAATAAACTGGTAATTGATTGGATCCAAATTATGATACTTTCCCAAAGATGATAATCTTCCCACGGTTGATATGAAATTTTTCTTTCAATTCTTTTTAATTTTAAGAATAAGTTGTTTGTTTTTTAAAAATTTTAAAATCATTTTTTAAATTAACTTTTGTCTAAAAAGAGACTTAAAATTAGGCAATTTAGAAAGTAAAAACTTAAATTTGCGTTTATTTTTGTCCACTAGCGTATTAATTTAGTGCAGTTGTATAGAATGGGATTTTCCCGTCATAGCCCCAGCATAGTAACAAAATTACTATAGCCCCTCCATGCTGGGCTTTTAATATTTCAGAGCAAGGGGGAGGGGATGGGAAAGGGTAGGGGATGGGAAAGGGTAGGGGGAAGGAGGAGGAGTAGAAGGGACTGGCTTTAATTTGCGCGGAGGGGTTAAAATGGGAAAAACCTTTTAAATCTTACAGCTAGTTGTGGGAAGCTGGCCATCACTTTTTTGGCCCAAAGTGTGTTGCATTCAACATACGGCAGGTGCGAGAAAGTCTCCACAATAAGACCATGACCGGCTTCAAACGAGCTAGACAATCGATCTCGTGTCAGCATATCCGAGAAGTAGTTCGTTTGTGATTGTCGGTACAGTCGCGAGGGGGCGACAAATTGCAAGTAGGAATAGAGGCACGATCGGTTGAAAAGAGATATGGGTTGTACTTCCCTTATTGCAGCTTCTAAAATTTTATTTGGGTTCTTTGAGTTCCCTAACAATGCAAATCTTACAAGAACCTTGCGAGATTTTCAAGATTTGAATTCTCGAATCGGAATGCGAACCTTGAAGGAGCCTTGCAAGATTTGCAAAAATTTCATGATCAATTTGGAGGCAAGTCTTGCAAGAATCTTGCAAGAAAACGCAGTAATAATAGTTTTTCTTACAAGAGTTTTTACAAGATTTGCATTTCGAGAACTTAGGGGTTATTAAAAGCCATTTATTCTTCTACATTAGTGGACTAATTTAGGGGCAAATTTAGGCTTTTTCTTTTAAAGTATTAAATGTAAAGGCCATTATGGACAATTTTTATTTAGAATTTCAACAAAACTTTACATCGACCGACAGCAAATGATCTGATTTACCCTCTACGGATGCCTCAATTTGTTTACTTTGAGCTTTTACTAATTTTTTCCAGTCCTGAAAAGCCAGTTTTTGCCGTCTGCTCTAGGTTTTGCAACGCAGTGAACTCTTTCTGGAATAAGTGGAGTAAAAAAATTGTTCACGCGACGTGAAAGATTTTCAGCGAGAAAACTCAAATTATGCGACATTTTAAATTCAGCTGCTTCGTACCATTTCATGCTTTTTGAAACAACTGAGTGCGGACGATGAAAACTGGCATTTTCAGACCCGGAAAAAATAAGTGTTTCAAAGTAAAAACTGGCAGCTTCAGAGAGGGTAGTTCAGATCATTTTCTATCGGTTGCTGTAAAAATTTTGTTAAGACTCAAAGTAAATATTGTCTGAAATGGTCCTTAACGATAGGCTTTTTAGTTAGTAAGAGTCTGATTTTGCTTTTAATTTTGTCCACTAGTGTATATCAGTTTAACATTTTTTTTGTCTCCGGTCGTTTTTAGGCAATTTTCTGTAAGTTGACTTTGCCACTCAATTTACACCTCTAAAACTGTGCATTTGAAGTGACTTCTGATTTGCTGAAATGTTAGCCGAAACGGCTGTGACAGATCTCGTCCCATTTTAATTTCGACAGGTTTCGTCCCATTTCAACGCGTACACAGATTTCGTCCCACAAATTTGGATATGGGATGATAGGACGTTGGATATGGGACGAAATCTGTATAGGACGAAATCTGCCATTTAAATAAATAGGACGAAAACTGTAGTAGAACGAAATCTGTGCCAATCATCGAAACCTCCCTGCATAAAAATCAGGATTTCGGTGACAAGTGTGAAAAATTTTTTTTTTCAACTGAGATTTGACTTTGTTCAAACCATGCCTTGCCCTTAACAGAACCATAGATATGGGATCTTGAAGGCGCATCTCAAAACTAATTTTTCAATAAAATAAATTATGATTTGGATACTTATGGTCACTGTTACAAATTTTTTCTTACTTGTGTTTTGTGTTGAGTTTTTGTGTTGGGTTTTGGCTCTGGCTAATATGGTTTTGTCTGGTTTCGTCCGTTTTTCACACCCTCCACGTCGACGATTAAGACGCACACCTACAGAATCAAGAAAAAATGGGATTTTTAGATTTTTGTTGAAATAAAACTCGCCTGCGATGCAGAAACTTTTCTCAAAACACTATTAGGATCCTTATAAGATATTGAAAGAGCTCTGATAATCAATTTGGCCTTCTTAAAAAAAGTCAGCAAAACATACCTCCCTCGAGAAAATCAGCACCTGTATATGTGTATATGGTCAAAGGGCTCATATAAAAAAAGTCACCTTTTTAAGCTTTTTTAAATTTGCGTTTTTTGTGTGTATATTTAGATTTTTGTCTGAAAAACTGGTCGTAAAAATCTGGACATAAAACCAGCCGACCTCTACCCGGACCACCCGACCTCTATCCGGACCACCCGACCTCTATCCGGAACACCCGACCTCTATGACTCACAGGTAGCCTGCATGCCCTTAGCTATGCACTTTCTCATCCTGCAAGCGGGACAGTTCCGTCTGGACTCTTTGGTGACGTCACAGTGACCAGACAGTCTGCAGGAGAGGGACTGGCGGAGTTGTATGTTACGTCTGAAGAACCCTTTGCAACTCTCACAGCTGTCGATTCCGTAGTGATATCTAGATCACACCGAAAAATAAGAAATAAACAAAAAGTACACTGGAAGACAAAACTACAAGCTAATTTAGGTTTTCGTTCACTAAAATGGGTAATTTCAAAACAAGAGCTCCGATCTGTTTGAAAAAAAATTCGAAAATAAAGCTAATGATAGAAGTTTAATCCAGTTTTATTACGCTTTTTTGTATATAAATTTGAAATTTTAGGTGATCCTGAGATATATTTTCTAACACAAAATTATCATTTGCTTTTTTCAATTAATTTGGTAATTCTGTAATTTCCTAAATTCCAATCAATCTTTTTTAAAATTGAATGCGTGTGCTTTTTTAAAATTGAATCTTTAAACTTTTTCAACGTATTGTGTTTGCATGTTCGAGCTGTATTGTATATTGCATAATGCTTGAAGTTTTATTTCATTTTTTAATTTTATAAATACTGGGCCAATTGCAAGTCGTGAAATTAAAGCTGTAGCTATGATGCCAGATGGGACGAGGGAAGATGGCAGCGAAGTGCATGGTTTGTGTAAACATGGGATTCATCTATCTATACATTGTAATGGGCGTTTTTCGTGCCAGTGTTTGTGTAACCCAAATATTAAACCAGTTACCCTATGATGCGGTGCTGTCAGGAGTTTCTCAAGGATTGCGAGGTTGAATTCCAACAATGAATACCCAAATCTTTTTATTTAACAATATATGGCTTTTTTGTAATTTTTTCAAAAAAACTTCAAAAACTTTAGGTTTAAAATTTTTCAAAATTTAGCAATTTCCAACTCTATTATGGTTTGCTGTCAGGATACCCAGGGGTTGAAATTCTTGCCTCAAAATCTGAAAAAAAAATACTTTGAGTTTTCAAGATATGAAGGTTTTTTTGATTTTTCAGATGTTTTCACAAGTTATAGTTTTAAAAAACTTCCCAAAGATTGATATTCCCTGCCCTATAGCAAAACTGTCAGGTTGGTCCTATCAAAAACTATCAGAACAAGTGTTATTCAAGTAATTTTAGTTTTCGATATATGGCGTTTTTTATGATTTTTTGAAACCTATTGGTACCTGAACGAAGAAAAAAGTTGGGTTATATATGAGCACCAATTTGAAAATAAAAGTTGAGTTTACTTCCAAGTTGGACGAACTTTGAAACGGAAATGGAGATTGGATGCCACCGGCCTAATTTCACACTGGCAATAACTTTTCTTGTTTTCTATCTTTTGGGGAAAAAATCAAATTTCGACAATCTGTTTTCAGCAACATAGAAGCCAGCCTAATTGGTTTTAAAATAAAAAAAAACAACAACTTTAAATTGACATAAATATTGCATCAAGTAGTCTGAATTAGCTAACATGCTCCAATCAAATGGAAATAAAAAGCAACTGAAATTGATGTTAATATATCATCAAGTAAAATAAAAAAATCTTACCACTCATTTAGAAAAAAAATTGGTTCGAAGATAATTTAGGACAAATGAAGAAAACTCCGAATGGTAGCCTTCTCAATCTTGAATTTTGGCTCAAAAATTAAAAAAAATGGGTGTTTGATTGAAATTGATAAAAATAATAAAACATATGAGCAAAAAAAATCTAGACTAGTGAAAAAAATTAAATGCAAGTTTTGATTTCATGTTCTAAAAAGATTATTACAGAACCATTTTGAAAGAATTTCATTTTAAACCAAGAGCAATTATGCTCAACTACCATTTCTGAAACTTTCAAAAATTTTATTTCAAGGACTTACCAGCAAGTTTTGCTGTAAAGAGGCCATCTACAGGCAGTCTTCCGAGCTGCATGAAATTGCAAGGAATACACTAGTGGACAAAATAAACGCAAATTTTTACTTTATAAAATGCCTCATTTCGACCATTTGGACATTAAATTAAAAAAAAACAATTACACATCGATCTTGAGAAAATGAACTCAACTACACCCTTTTAAGCATCAAGATTTAGTTTCCTGCACTAATATTTGCCCTAATCTGACTAGGACACTAATTTTTGCATTCTCGACCTGATCAACCAGTAAGGTTTTTAGGAAGGAAAGTTTTCTCGTATAAAATCTTTCATAAGCAGTAATTCTTAAATGTTTTTTGGTCTAATAAGTATCAGCAAGCGAGCCGTTCACTTAAAATGAAGTGAAGGGAGTGAAAAAAAATAACGTTCATCTAAAATAAACCACTTTCAGCCAAAATTTCGAATTAGAAAGTGTGATAATCTTTTTAAATTTAACTACAATAGCAGATTAAAATAAAAGCGAAAGCATGTTTTTTGTAACTAACAAAAAACTTTTTTAAAGCCATTTAGTACAAGCTTTACTTGTATGCTCTGCAAAATTTCTAACTCGATAGTGAGCAAATGATATCAGCTACTTTTTTGTTATTGGCAATTTTTAGTAACAAGCCCTAATCACTTTATTCGGGATATGAAATTGCCAATTTAAATAAATTTTTCAATGGCGTCAATTCCTCGCGGATTCGGGCTTATGAAAATTGCCACACTCGACAACTACATTTCTCGTTTTCAATGTTTCACTCGGCCTGATTAATATTTATATTTCTGGTCAATTAACAAAACTTTCCCTTCCGTAGAATCCTCCGACAGATTGCGCAAACGAGCAGCTTCAGACCCGGAAAAAAACTGGTAAGGGCTTGTATCTAAGTACTTGACATTGCATGGACTGTTGCTGATATCGGATGTATTTGCTCGGATCGACGTAAGAGTATCGTTGAGTTTCTAGTATTTCTGCCTCGTTTCGGTTCTGAGGTAGATCGGTTTCGGGTAGCTGGTTGATTGACAACATTTCCTTTCAGACGTAAATTAACTGTAACTATCGGAAACTACAAGTCAACAAAGAACAACGAAATGCCATAAATTTCGATATTTAAAAGCACAATTCAAGGTCATAAAAAGCGCAAAAAGGAATCCATTAATAAATCAGTTTTGAAACAGCGTCTGAAAAACTCATGAACCTCGTTTCGCTTTTCAGTTTTTTTTCGAGTTTTCTCACACACTGTTCTTCGTTCACCGGAAAATTCATTACTTACGAACATAGTATTTCTCGCTATGAATTCTAGCGAGAACATCTAGGTAACGTTTGCCTGGAATGATTTAAAAAAGTATTATCGATACTAGAAAACTGCTTTCGGGTTTAAGTTTGTAAATACTGTAGTTAACTTTAAAAGATCATTAATGTCATCAGTTTAAAATTATGACTGTGATTTGTTTTTTTTGCTTGAACAATTTTCTTTCTCTTTTATCCCAGAAAAAGCTTACTTCAATGCAAAGACTAGTACAGATGCAAGAAATTAGCTCGCCCCCCTCCAATTTGTTTTTTTTAGCCTAGATACTCCGCATGTCAACTTTTGTAAAAAGTTGGACATGGTGACCATAAAATTTTCATATATAAGTTTGCCGGGTGGATGGAAGGAAAAAACCACGATCACTTCCAGCCCCAGGTAAAGCCGATACAATTTTTGATCGAAAAAATGATGGCCAATAATTGATAGGGGGTAGCTCAGATAAGTTGCGATGGCGTTTATGTTATAGATAATTTATTTAAAATACTTAATATTTATCAATGAAAACAGGTATTTTAGAGACTGAAAACTTTAATTCACGCTTAATTTTGACCACTCAAGTTTTTCAGAACCGAATAAAAATTTTAGAAAGGAAGATTTGTTCTCGCATAAGCTGTTCTATAAGCAGTAAGTTTTTTTATTTTGAGATCAATTAGCAGCAAGCGAGCAGCTAAAACGTCAGCTTAAGCAGAGAATAATTGTATTTAACAACTAAATAACAGAAAATTTGTTGCATTTTCTCATTTTTATTCGCTGAAAGCGCTTTCCCGCGCTATGAAGTGCATTATATATGCATGTTGAAATCTGACGCAATCAATTCTCTGAAAACAAATTTTGTTCAATGACATTTTTTCATTCTGAGTAAAGTACTTCTCATTATTTTCCCTTCTTGTAATTGAAGACTACAATTTAATGCATTGTTTGAACAAATCTAAGACCCTGATGTACCTTATCCTCATTAATTGGAATCTCCAGTAAAAACACAGACTACAGAAAAAGCTATTTTAAAATTAGAAAATACAAAAAGCGCAATGGTTCGCTTTGTTGTTTTTTTACATTCTTCTTTTTTCCAAGACTTTGTTATCAAATAGCGCATCTATTCAACCAGAAATTAAGACACCAAAACTGTTTTTTTTTTAAACTACATGCTACCAATTTTACTTTTCGGAATGAACTTCAAGAATGACAAAACTTATGAAGTCATAACCATTTATATGAATAATACTGAAACAGTTAGGTTAAGAGAATGCTTTTCAAAAACTTTCTCGGAAGGTTAATTTCGCATTCATAACTCCTAAAAAGTTGAAAATTGTTGCTTTGGAACAAGATTAAAGTTTTTGAAATTACACCTGTTCACAAAACCATTATTAAGGCACGTTATTAAAAAAGTTCACACTTTGAGCCATATACTTAAATAAAGGGGCGGATTGGGGGGGGCGGGGAGGACGCTTACCCTTTCCCCTCAAGGATTCGACCCCCTGCCGACCCAAAGGGTCCCCCCTTTGCACTGTTGATATATCTTTTTTTTGGTGACGAACCCTAAAAATTTTCTAAAGACGCCTTTGGCGCCAATATATACTACTTTAAAGGGGGGGAGCGCGCGCCGAAAAACACAATTTTTTGGTCAAAATTGCCCAAAAAGTGCCCAAAAAACGCCTTTTTTGACCTGTTTTTTCAAAATTTTGCCTGCGGCGCAGAAAGTTTGGCCGAAATAGGGACAAAACAGTGCTTTGGGAGAGATCGAAAAATCAATTTGGTCGAACTAAAAAAAAGGTCGACAAAATTATTCGAAATTTTTTTGAAAAAACGAGAAAATCCTAGATCTGCCCCTGCTTATATATAGATACTACATACATAATTTTATCACTTTCAAGTATCACTTTCAATCTGTTTTATATTATCACTTTCAATCTGTTTTATACTGAGCGATGTGAAAA